GGGAGTGAATGAAGAATGAGAATTGTTTTTGAGTGTCCAAAAAACACGCTTTATGAAACCGATGCATTATTATTTGTCATGGATTGAAAACTGCCTTTTACAATGTTGGGTAACACTTTAGCCCTAACTAATGAGTAGCTAATTAAGTGCTAATTAGGGTGCCCTTCTCCTAAACCACAAGTTGGTTAGTAGTTAGTTAGATGTTAAGGACTAATATGTTCTTAATAAATATCAATTAACCATCAAGTATGCACTAATTAGCACTTAATAAGCAGCTGATTAGTGAGGGCTGAACTAAAGTGTGGCCCAATGGTGTCAGAGCAGTCAAATTGACGGCTTTTAGTTTTGTAAGTAAATTTTTTGTAAACAATGTATGCATATTTATTTTTTATATTCCTATTTTTTAGGTAAAGACTTAAAGATTAAAAACATATTGGTGTCATTCATGGACTCATCAGCAGCTTTTTTTTTAATCACACAAAGAGCCATCCACAACTTTGAACAGTCCTCTGAGATAACTACTGTTGTGATTAAAGGAAAATAAAAAATGTAATTAAATTAAATTACATACAATCTTCAATACATGAAATGAAAACATTGCATAGATCTTATTTTTTAGTACACCGTACCATATAAGATAAGACTTTATTGATCTCACACTGCAGTAAGGTACATGTCACATTTGGCACGGATACATTCTGATTCTGCAAAAGACAGAAGAGTGAAACATTTTAAGGTTAAAAAATATAGTCTGTGCAGGATATAATTATGTACAATAAAATGTCTAGAAATACATTGTATGAAAGTGAAAGTGAAAGTGAACTGCATGGCGTTACAATAACATACTGTCAGGATCTGAGAGACACACAGCCCTAAAGACGTCAACCTGAGAACTCCCAGAACTCTGCATCTGTACTTTATATCCATGTTTCTACACGGCTCCTCGCAGCAGCAGGAGGACGCTCATTTCAAAACGTTTTACCGGTCATTATGTCTTTAAAACCAACCTCTCAAAAAGTAAGCACATTCAGGGCGGAAGCAGACGCCCTGTCGGTAATTATTTTTCCGATAATGACCTGCGTAATATACATTATCCCTTACTTATTGTGTTTGTGTGATTAACATGATCCTAGACTGGTCCTAGACTGGTCCTAGACTGATCCTAGACTGATCCTAGACTGGTCCTAGACTGGTCCTAGACTGATCCTAGACTGGTCCTAGACTGATCTTAGACTGGTCCTAGACTGGTCCTAGACTGATCTTAGACTGATCTTAGACTGGTCCTAGACTGGTCCTAGACTGGTCCTAGACTGATCCTAGACTGATCCTAGACTGGTCCTAGACAGGTCCTAGACTGATCCTAGACTGGTCCTAGACTGATCCTAGACTGGTCCTAGACTGATCCTAGACTGGTCCTAGACTGGTCCTAGACTGATCTTAGACTGGTCCTAGACTGGTCCTAGACTGATCTTAGACTGGTCCTAGACTGGTCCTAGACTGGTCCTAGACTGATCTTAGACTGATCTTAGACTGGTCCTAGACTGATCCTAGACTGGTCCTAGACTGGTCCTAGACTGGTCCTAGACTGGTCCTAGACTGGTTCAGAGGAATCTCATTTTGGAGCCAGTGCCGGTTACCATGGAAACACACTGTTTACATGCAGCGGTTAGTGTTTACAGTTGTATTTTGGTTTTATTAACCAGTTTTGGCCGGTATTAAAGATAAAACTCTATAAAGTACTTCTTTGCACATTTTTGGGTGGATTTTTTCAGAATTCCATTTATTTGTATTGGAGCCGACAAAAAGACTGCTTTGGGAGTTCTAACAGTTCTAGTAGCAGGCAGTAAAATGGTGAAATAGTTTTACGGCTTTTTGAAAACGTTTTTTTCTGTGTTCCAGCTCAGTTTGACGTCCTCACGGTTCATCGCCTTGTAACGCTCCTGCAACTGAAGAAAAGAGTCAATTATTCCAATAAATCAGGGAATGATATTTATATGATGATTATGGGGTAAATTGCTGATGATTAATCCAGTGGTTTTTACTTTAATTTCAGTCTATTCTGAATGTCTTAAAGAAATGTTGGATTTTCCTTCTCATTCCAAGCAAGACATTTCCTGTATCTTTGTAAAACAAGATAATGTTGCTTCGTCCCACTGGCAAATTTAGTTTAAATGTGTTCAAATTGAGATATATTTTGGCAAATCTGACACATTTTTGACTTATTTTTCATCACTATTTGCAGTTTAGAATATGACAGATTCAACATTTGTGTCTAACTTTGACAGAAATTAAAATCTCCTTTTACCTGCTGCAGTATTTTGTGGCTGTGCGAGTTGAGATCCACAGAAGACGCCATTTTGATTTTCACTAAAGTCCTTCTTTTCTACGGAACTGAAAAATAAGAATATGTTCAGGTACGGTGGCTGGGTGGATAGCACTCTCGCCTCTCAGCAAGAAGGTCCTGGGTTCGAATCCCGGCCGGACCAAGGCCTTTCTGAGTGGAGTTTGCATGTTCTCCCCGTGTCTGCGTAGGTTTCCTCCGGGTACTCCGGTTTCCCCTACCACTAAAAATATGTCCAATAGTTCTGGCATGCGCCTCCTGTACTGGCCCCGCTCCCATCTCTGTGTGGAGTGAGAGACAAATACCCAACATTAACAATTGTAAACCGCTTTGAGACTCAGATCTGCAGTGAAAAGGCGGTATATAAATAAAAACTTACTTACTTACTTACTTACTTACTCAGGTGAAACTCGGAAAATTTGATTATTTTTCAAACAGTTCTTTTTGCTGTAACTTTTCTTGTGAGAAACAATTTATAGTTTTTTTATTGTGTTTTTTAACTTGATGTAGCACCTTGACATGTGTGTGATGTAAACAAAATGTATTAATATTATTTAGTGCTGTCTAAAATAACGGTTTTTAACGTGTTAATGCAATCAATATTATCGTCGTTAATTGTTTTATCGCAGAATTAATTTGTGTGACTTGGAGTTTTTTTTAGCTGTTGTCTCTGCACTAAAAAAGTAAAATCTTTATAAGATTTATCTACTAAAAATAAAATGCTTATTTTTTTACGGCAAGTTCTTTTTTTCTTAAATGTAGTTTGTCTTAGATTATTTTACTAGTTTTAAGATAATAATACTTCATAATCTTATTAGAGACAAAAGTCTGAGCAGTGAGTTTTGAAGCTCTTTTTAGGGATTTTATTCTTATTTCAAGACATTTTTCTTGTTTCGGAAAAATAAGTTTTTGATATTCTATTTTTAGAAAAAAAAATCTAAAAAGGGTTTAAGAAATAAGTAATAAATGTTTTCAAAATAGAATTAAGTCGTTTGGGGCCAGAATTATTTCATTATTTTCAGAAATCTTGTCAAGTCATGTTTTCTTTTTCTATTGACGGATCATTTGTATTATTTTCAGCAGTATTAGAACTAGAACCAGAAACAGGATTAATCGCGAGTTAACTTTGACATTCATGCGATTTAAAAAAAGTCATTGATGGAAAGCAATATTATTTTTACGTTTCGTACACAAGGAAACTCAAAGTGCTAAACGAAACAAGGACATTAAAATCATTATAATCACAGTGCAGTAAATGTTGGTTTCTGAAATCAAGGATCTCTTAATCTAAATCTTAAAAAACATCTTCACATTATTCACATTTTTTATATGTTCTATTTGGGGTTTACAAGCAAAGAGCCGACTATGGTGAAGTCCACTGTTCATGTAAAGTCTGTTCTTTTGTATTAGTTTCACATTTGGTGATGATCCAGAAAACTCGACAGTTACCGACAGTTATGAACATTTCTCATCAGCCCATTACGGACCGATGGCTCTGTGTGCTTTTACTATGGCTTTGTGTTTGATTCTGATCTGTGCAAATTCAAATTCATTTGCATTTGGCCAAAAAACTGGCAATTCATTTACTGAGCCAGTTCTCAATGTGAAAGGCCACACCAACGCTACACAATACTCGATAAAAAACATTCCATTCAATTATCCTCTGCTTCATCCGTTGCCGGGTCGCGGGGGCAGCAGTCTTAACAGAGACGCCCAGACTTCCCTATCCACACACACTTCCTCCAGCTCGTCCCAGGGCGTTCCCAGGCCAGCTGAGAGACATAGTCCCTCCAGCGTGTCCTGGGTCTTCCCGGGGCCTCCTCGCGGTGGGACGTGCCCGGAACACCTCCCCAGGGAGGCGTCCAGGAGGCATCCGGAACAGATGCCCAAGCCACCTCAACTGGTTCCTCTCGACGTGGAGAAGCAGCGGCTCTACTCCGAGCTCCTCCCGTGTGACCGAGCTCCTCACCCTATCTCTAAGGGAGCAGCCACTCTGCGGAGGAAGCTCATTTCGACCGCTTGTATCCGCGATCTCGTTCTTTCGGTCATTACCCACAGCTCATGACCATAGGTGAGGGAGGGAACGAAGATTGACCGGTAAATCGAGAGCTTTGCCTTTCGGCTCAGCTCCCTCTTCACCACAACGGTCCGATACAGCTCTGACTGCAGACGCTGCTCCGTCTTCACCACAACGGTCCGATACAGCTCTGACTGCAGACGCTGCTCCCTCTTTACCACAACGGTCCGATACAGCTCTGACTGTAGACGCTGCTCCGTCTTCACCACAACGGTCCGATACAGCTCTGACTGCAGACGCTGCTCCCTCTTCACCACAACGGTCCGATACAGCTCTGACTGCAGACGCTGCTCCCTCTTCACCACAACGGTCCGATACAGCTCTGACTGCAGACGCTGCTCCCTCTTCACCACAACGGTCCGATACAGCGACCGCCTCACTGCACACGCTGCACCGATCCACCTGTCAATCTCACGGCCCATCCTTCCCTCACTCGTGAACAAGGCGGAATACTAGAACTCCTCCACTTGAGGCCCTCTCCACCTGGAGCCGGACCCATAAAGATAGTGAATAGAACTGTTCTGTCAAGTGACGAAAAACTATGCCTATGAAGCAGAGTATATGTAGACTTTTACTGTGTATTTAGTTGTTGTTTCGATTACCGATATGGCAGATGAAGCTCTTCTTTAGACCACAATCGTCGCTCTCCCATAGGCCCTCGTCTCTCAGTGCTGCACATTTATGTGGATTTACGTCCGAGTTCCAGTTTCTGAAAGAGGACTCGCTACCGTCCGACCAGCCCCACTGGTCCCAGAACAATCCAACAAAACACCATTGATGTGGTAGAGTGGAAGGGTCCAGTAGACTTCGCTGGTCCTTTCCACTCATCAGGTCAGTGTGGTGTCTGCGGCAAAACTGCTGAGCTCCAACCCAGGATCTTGGTTCTGTGACCAGAACGTTGGTGTTGGAGCACCCTGTAGAAAAAGGGACTTGTTTAAAGGAGATATGTTGGTGTGTCTAGTATTCCATGATATGAATCGTTATACCATTGTGTTAATTACAATAAACAATAACTTGTTATAACACATTGTTCTTATAGAGCACGTTTGGTGATGATACATTCTATGCAACTTTAACTGCAAGATGGTCTCTGGTTAGAATCTTGCTCCTGAAGGATTTTGCAGCGGTACTAGCTGAGCCTCCCCATAGCATCTTTAACAAGAGTCTTCAGACTGGATGTGTCCCACTGGAAAACCTCCTGCCTGGTACCCGTCCCCAAGGTAGCAAGGCCGACAGGAGGCAAGGACTACAGACCAGTGGCACTAACATCTGTCATAATGAAGACTTTTGAGAGGCTAGACTCCAACTGCTCATGCCACAGGTCAAGCAGGCTCTCGACCCCCTGCAGTTTGCCGATCAGAAGAACATGTGAGTGGACATCTCGGTCCTCTTCATGCTCCATCGATCCGTGTCCTTCCTGGATGGCCCTGGAGGCTTTGTGAGGCTGATGTTCATTGACTTCTCCAGCAAATTCAACGTCTTTTACTGAGGGAGAAACTGGAGAAGGTTGGAGTTGATCCCATCTTTACCCACTGGACTTACAATGACCTCACTGTGCGGTAACAGTTTGCCACGTTAGGGAAGAGCGTGTCTGGGACTGTTGTGAGCAATACGGGAGCACCGCAGGGTACCGTCCTGGGTCCCTTCCCGGATGAGTCTTCTGCTGCTGGACACCTAGGGATCAATAAAGTATCTGTACATCTATCTATGAGCAGGTGTGAAACTGTTTCTCATCTTAAACTATACCAAATACTATTGCTTGATTGTATATTTATGTAAATATTTGCATGTGTACTGTATGTATGTGTGAAGTAGGCAACATAACAACTTACAAAAGTATCTCCATAAACTAAGGAATGTAAATACTGATGAATGTATAATTTCTGCTTGAATAAAAAAAACAATCAGCCACTTAATAGGTCATGAGTAAAAAAGTCAACACATTATTATTATGAAATTAACATAGTTCTGTAAAACAATCTCTGCTTTAATGTGTATTTTAACCAAAACAGTTTCCTCACCGTGGTAGCAGAAAAAACATCTTTCCTCACCACAGGGTCCATCGTGCCATGGGCCGTTTTTTACAGCAATCCCACAATTCTCATTGACATTGTTCGGTTGTGTCCGATCCCATGGTTCGGTTTCACTATACTTGACTGTGGGCTGCGACCAGTACCATTTCCCATCAAACACATTGTCACTGGTTCGACGAAGTCCGATCCAGGCGTCTGTGAGTCCGTTTGCAGCAGCCTTCAGTCCCTTCAGGTCTTTCACGTCTCTCACTGTGGCCAGGTCTAAGTAGTGCTGTCTGCAGTGAGTCTGAGCATCAAACCACGTCATCGGCTCAGCTATAAGTCGGTACACGAGGTCCAGAGACGCCGGCAAACACAACTGACCTGAAGGAAGAAGAACGTTGCAAATAACAATGTCTAATGTGGTTATGGCTGTCATGACAATGATTCTTGTTTCAATATGATAATGAATACAATTATTATGAGTCCTGGATCCCTCCGTCAATCTGGGTCTCCCTGAGGTTTCTCACTTTTTTCCACTGGGTTATTTGAGTTGCTCCTTGCCGATGCAGTGGAGTCTAAAGACTGGTGATCCAGGACATTTGAGGACATTTGTGGACAGCTATAAACGTTTATGGACATTGGTCTTGCTTTGGTCATCCACCCCTTATGGACCAATGGCTCTATGTGTTTGTTATTTTTTATATGAACCCTGATTCTCTGATCTTTGTTAGTGACTTTGTAAATTCTGAGCTATGGGTGGTTTTACTGTAATAGGGATGATTTAAAGCTGTGTGAATGAGCCACAAGTCGCACTGCAAAATGTCACACGATTTTGCCGAGGGTTCTTTTTTTAAGGGTTTTTGTTTATTTCATGATCATGAATTACCTCCTGTGCCTGAGAAGACAGGATTTGTTGTTTTAAAGTTTGTATAGTTGGATTAGGGCCCTCTGATGAGGAGGACCAGTATAGTTGATCACTATACACTATATAAACAATATACATTTATCTCAAGCTTAACTTCGATTGTGATTTTGACCTGTTTTTTTTTCAAACTTTAACGCCCACATACGTCTGGACCATTTTCACTCAGGAGGGTTGAAATTCTTTATTTAACAAGCAATTCTGTGTATTAGGTTTGTTTTGTGTTTTGGAAAATTTAGGTGAAATGTTACAAAACATAAGTAGTTCATTTGTTTTTTGTTTGTTATTCAGGCAAGATATTTTTTTTACATCATAATTATTCTTATTTAATTAGGTAAACCAATAGAAGGCTGGAAAAAGGTTTTTTGCGTCCCCTTTGACTCAGGACATTCATGAGCAACGCCTTCATGTTTAGTGATCTTTGTCCTTTTGATGTTTTTGGTTTTTTCTTTGTTGAACTGTGTTTTAATCTGTAGCATCTTGAGGTTTCCTGGAAATGATTGGTGTAGCATTCATAAAATGTGTTATTATTGTTCTATGTTTTTTGACTGACCAGGGATCGGCTAAACTGCCCGATCGACGCGCCCGACCTTTGCAGCTGTTGTAGCAGTTGTTCACGATAACTGTGCACGCAATAATCTAGAGCTCAGTTATGGAAACCATTCAGAGTGGTGTCCTGTGGCTACTAGTTAAAACAACAGGCAAACAAGGACAGCACAAAAGCAACGTGTGCAAAGTGCGAGCAGCCAAACTATATTCAACACTTCAAATCTGATTCAGCGTTTGAGTCTAAACATGAAACTGAGAATACGACGAAGGGAACGTTCTGCTAAAAGTTTTATTATTGATAGTTTTTACTCTCGTCAGATTGGGAGGGTTCATACAGTAGACCACGTTTAGCACCATGTGAGTATTTGTTGCTCGATGCTTCGTGACTGTACCAACCAAGATTCATTTATTTCTTACTTTAGCCTGAAAGAATAAACTGAGGCCGATTAACTTCCCTTTGATTTTTCATTACAGCCGTTACTAATTGAAACAAATAGGTTCACTACTAAAATTTGTTTTATAAATGACAAAAGCAATGATCAAACCATTGGATCGGACTGGATTTGAAGTTCAACAATCAGATCGGGATCAGAGTCAAAACATAGTGATCAGGATCTCCTCAATTATAACCGCACAAACAGCAATGGACTATTTACTCGATTTAGTGAACAATAATAAAATAAGAACATAGTTAAGAGTAACAAAAACTTACTCAGCAGCACGGAGAGCAGCAGAGTCTGACCCATCTTCACCTGAAAACAACGAAGAGTCAAGAGTGAGGACCAAAGCAGGATAAGGACTTGAACCAGGGATGAAGCAGCTTTACTGGTAAATCTCTGAGTTTTAATATGGAAATGCTTCAAAAAGTGAAACATTACACGCACATGTGTCATTTCATTTGAGTTGAGTGTTTTGTTTAGATCGTTTGCATCTGGACATTTATAATGTGAGTGCGTGAGAGATGAAGGATCATTAACTGTGGATGGGTATTCATCACGTCTGCACCAAGACACACTTTGAAGAACGCTTTAAACACATTTATGCTGCCCCTGCACACAGCCCTTCTGTCGCATCTGTCTGCACCACACTTTTGTAACGGTTGAAAGGAAGTCTGCTCCTTAAGGACCAATAGTGCTATGGGTTTGTTACCACTGCATTTTCTGTGTTTAAACTATTTAAATCTCTGATCTGTGTTGATGAATCGACCTCTGAGATAATTACTGTAGAGATTTAGGGCTGAACAAAATACATTGAACCTTTTGGCGAGTGCAGGACCCTCTTGTACTTTCCGCTCCTCACATCGCACTGCGGGGGGGCTATGCCCAAGCAGGAGCTTTTCAATGTGAAGGCTCACGGCCGGACCCAGGCTCTCACCTGTCCTGAGCATGAATTGGTTGCAGCTGACTGTTTGTTCCCCTCTCTCCTGCCTAGACCACCGGCTGCTCTACTTTTGTCTTTTGTTAGTCTTCTAAGACTAAACATGAACTATTTACAAGTGCAGGAGGAATGAAACAGACGTGATAAGCTACAAGTGCAGATTCAAACAAAGACAGGAACAGAGCAAAAGAAACGACTGAACAGTTATATATACAGTATGTTGGATATTCCACTGAACTGAACAGTCCACAGTCTCTGCGTACATCAGGCTCTGAGCCATGAGCTTCCTTTGGTCCCTTCGAATCATAAAGCAGTCTTCTCCAAACTGCCTCATCCATGTTCCTCACAGCTGTTTCGTGCTTCCTTCCAAATCACAACCACAGTGGAGCTTCTTTGCGGCGCCGGCCGCGTGGTTAGAACATTTTGAGGGAGCACCCAAGGCCACGCAAGGGTCGTGTGGTGATCCTTGTGTAGGTCAAATCATGGCTTTTAATTTCATGGAGTCACCGTCAGCAGAGCCGTTGGATAGATGCACTAGGAGCGATAGATATTGGAGGCAAGAAAATGAGGTTGTGTTTAAAGTCTTGTTTTAGAAGATACTTTGGTTCTGCCAGGAGAAAATAAATGTTTAATTTATATATGAATTTTGATAAGTTGACATTTGGTTGGCCATGGAGCAGATGAAGATTGCACTTGAGAAAGAGATGTGTCTGTTTGAAGTAGAAAGGTTAAGGTTAAGAATGGCACGGTGGCTGAGTGGTTAGCACCTTTCAGCAAGAAGGTCCTGGGCTCAAATCCCGGTTGGAACAGGGTCTTTCTGAGTGGAGTATGCATGTTCTCCCCTTTTTCTCATTACATCGGAAAATAATCCTAAACATTGTTAAATTAATATAAATTAGTTTTAATAGCGGTACTCAAACCCAAACACCTTTTTCTTGTGAATCTGTTCCAAAGTTTGTTGTGATCGTCCTGGACAAACGTGTGAAGTTAAAATAAGACCTAATTACAGAGAGTGTCTATGGAGTATTCAAAAGGCTTCTCCACGCTGCGTCTGTGCTGGAAATACAACTGTTCTGCCAAATGGATTTCTGCTCCAACAGGAAAATAAAAACATTTGGAGAAGCGATATTTTTCATCAGTGAGTTTGAGAAAACGCCACAGTCTGACTCTGAATAAAGTCAATCTCCAAATGAACCAAGTCTTTGATGATTTGAACTATTAAATACAGAAAAATAAGAAATGTGGATTTGTTTTTTTATAATCAACAGGAGACAGTCCAGACCAGCTGACACCACGATGTCAGGCCACAGAGTTAACAATTATAATAATTATTATAATACATCAAAATGATATAGTGCTTTTTTGGACACTCAAAGACGCTTTACAGGACACGTGTAAATAAACATTGAGAAACATATTAGGGAAAGGCTGAAACAGAAGAGATTTAAAGTTCTGTAGTGAGTCTGAGTTTCTGATGGGTTGAGTTCTCTAACACTTTAGATTAGCCTCGACTAGCAACAGATAATTCAGTGCTAATTAGTGTACCCTAAACCTATAGCCCTAACCCATAATCAACTTTTATTCGTTGATCTAACAGGATTAGGACTGACGCTGTTCCTGTGTCAGTGTGATGTCATTTGTCACATTTACTAAAGCAGTCTCAGTACTTTGGTGGGGTCTAAAGCCAGACTGGAACACATCGAAAGAATTTTTGATTAATCATAATAATAATAATAATATAATTTAATGATGTTTGACAATCTTCATATTTCAGATAAATCAATGGACTTAGACCGGAAAGCTGGAACTTAACTCAGTCACTCAACAAAAAAGTTCAAAAAGCGTTTACATTTCTACCATGTCTTTCTGGTCTGAACCATAGACTGTATATATTAACGGACAGAGTCACGCCTATCTCCGCTGTTCTAACTAATGGGCAAAAAAAGGTGCTCTACTGGAGCTATCCAAAATGGCCACGAGTGGTCCGGCCCACAAGAAAATTGTGAACAAAACGCATCTGCGCATGCGTCAGCCGGCGCAGCTCCATTTATTTGAACGAGAGACTTCAAAAATTCACAGCGACTAAACTAGAGTGGACCAGAACACCCCCCTCAGCATTGACACACATGTGGAACGGAACTTTGGGCCAAGAGCCAACTTTTGGTCCATCCTGTAAAGACGTTTTTGAGAGGTCTGCCAACGCTATATGTTAGCATTGGCTAATTCTTCTTCTGGGTCCACCCCCATCGGCCCGGGGTGGTACTGCAGCATGTCAGGGCACGTGATTTTGGCCACTTTTGAGCTGGGACCTGTCCACACTGGTCTGGACTTTTTACTCTGCACGGTGGCTGAGTGGATAGCACTCTCGTCTCTCATCAAGAAGGCCCTGGATTCGAATCCAGGTTGGACCAGGGCCTTTCTGAGTGGAGTTTGCATGTTCTCCCCGTGTCTGCGTAGGTTTCCTCCGGGTACTCCGGTTTCCCCTACCACTAAAAACACGTACAATAGTTCTGGCATGTGCCTCCTGTACTGGCCCCGCTCCCATCTCTGTGTGGAGCGAGAGACAAATGTCCCAAAATAACAATTGTAAACCGCTTTGTGACTCTGGTCTGTGAAAGGCGGTATATAAATAAACATTACTTACTCTTGTGTCTGAAATATAGTATTGAATTGTATTGAATGAGTAGCAACAAGAACAACAATACCAACAAAGAGCTTGTGGTAATTTGATTATTCAAAGTGGACCCAGCAGCACATTTGCATGCCCTAAACCTTTATGTTAAGAAAAACAAGAGCTTTATATATGCGGTGGTAAATGTTTTTGTTGTTTCCACTGAAATAGTTATGAATATGAATCAATTATTAATCTAACAAGAGCACTGAGAGATAGTTTAGACATCATTCCATTTCCTGCAATTCTCAATGAGCTATTACTGTTATTGTTGACATCATCTGCGTATTATTTTACAATACGACTATGAAAATAGCTTCAAAGTGAGTTTAGAGACATTTCTTTTTCACAAATGGTTCCATTACCTTTCACTTGTGTGTGTTTTTAATGTGAAAGCTTGTTGATTCCCCAAATAACCGCTCTATATGTATTATTCCAGCAAACTGCCATTACAGCTCATTACAATCATTTCACATCAGAGACCTTTTAACAGGGTTTGGCCAAAAAATAAGTCCCAACAAATTTGACACGGGTCTAATGGCAGAATAATGTGTTCAATCAAAACACATTTAGTGCATTAGACTAGTGAGGCCTTGTCGCTCCGAGGCACAACATGACCTCATTGCGTTTAATGATAATGGCTTGCTCACGACGGCTAAATAATAAACATATTAATTCTGTTTTACTGCTTACTAATCAACCTAAGTCCACAAGAGCAAGAAGCAGCACAGACTGATTAAAGGAGCACAATGTTTGACAAATATCTCTCATTATGTCATTTAGGAATAATCTGTTTTTAATCTGGGTCTTCACAGAGGCTGGCTGTAGATTTGGTGAAAAAGTGGCTTCAGTGCATTCTGTGGGTCTTAAAACAATACTTGCTAACAGGACATGCAGATTCTAACTTAGAATGGGTAAAATTGTCCTGTTAGTTCATATTATTTCATTTACATCCATCCATCCATCCATCCATCCATCCAGCCTTTAGGCCTGAAGGTCGTGGGTTCAATTCCCACCTTCTTCACAACTCCCACGGATGTCTGCTGTCGTTGTGTCCTTGGGCAAGACACTTAACCCCACTTTGCCCAAAGCTCCCGCTGAAAGAGCTATGCTCACACTGACAGAGCAGCTATCCTCCTGTGGACTCACCACCTGCAGGAGGATCAGTGAGGGGCTGGTGACTTGGGTGGCATCACTGACTGCCACCCAAGTCACCTCCATCTACACCTGCGGACTGCCCCGCCCGACCTGCCTGGGAGTGCTTCAGTCCTGCACTGGGTGGACCACGTTCACGGCCGGTCCTGGATCTACAGCCTCAGTCCTCGTTCTACAGTCTGAGTCCTGGATCTATAGCCCGTCAATCCGTGGGAGCGGATCCCTTTCTCAAACCATGGGTCTCCTCGAGGTTTCTCACTTTTTCCCACTGGGTTTTCTTATGAGTTTTTCCTCTGATGCAGGAGGCTGTTGAACAGTTAGTGTCCAACTAGGACTGTGGTGATCCAGGACACTTTAACATTCTACAACATGTATGACATTATCAACATTTGTTCTATATTCTTTATGTGTTTTAACTGTTGATTCTCTGATCTGTGTTGGTGATTTCAATGGTTTTGTTAAGTCGTTAAGATGATGGACCCCTAATGTATAAGCTTCTGCTTCTGGGAGTTCCATGTTCACAATGTAGCACATGTACTTTTA